AGAGAGAGAGAGAGAGAGAGAGAGAGCACAAGCAGAGGGAGAAGCAGGCTCCCTGCTGAGCAAGGAGCCCGATGCAGGACTTGATCCCAGGATCCCGGGATCATGACCTGAGCCGAAGGCAGACGCTTAACCGACTGAGCCACCCAGGCGTCCCAACAGCCATACCATTTCTTATCCGTGACCCTGGCCAATCTTACTGAGCAAATTCAGTACAAAGAATCACGGTCTCTGGCAGCGAAACCCTTCTGCTAAGATAAGCTGTGTACATTTCCTTCCTCCGTTGCACAAACCCCCATCACAAGCCATGTGGGGTCTTCCTGGGACACCCTGCTGGTCTCCTGCCGGCCTGACAGGTGCTTTCGATCATTACAGATTTACTCTTCCAGTAGCCTGCTACTGCCCAATGGGCACGCCGCCAGCTCTGTTCCCTCTCCACCCCCACGTGGGCCTCCTCCCTTCCTGTCTGGGTGGCCCTTTCACCCCTGCCTCTACCCAGAAAGGCCCTACCCCACCTGTGCCCCCAGGGCACTTTTTAGGCCATAGCTCTGCACCTGCCCTGCTTGCTCTGCAGATATGGGGGGCAGGGCAGCTGTACGGATACCTTGGGGGGTGTGGTTACCACCCAGGCAGTGTAGGGGCCCGGACCAGCCTCACCCATCACCTCCACACACACTGACTGTCCCCACCGCAGCGGGCTCCGAACTCCGGCAAGGCTTCTATCGGCCGTGAACAATGGGTCCCACTCTCGTCACAAGGCAGGCTCCCCGCCATGGAGGTCAGACGTAGACAAGAACAACGGGGTGGTCAGAGGTGTCTGTAAAAGATGTTTCAGAGCAGCTTGGGCCTCATGACGGTTTTAGCTTAGTTACAAATCCCAGGCAGTTCCATCTGCTTAACCAGTTTTTCCGGTGACACTTCAATGCTGGTTTTCTTGGTTTTTATAGCCTCTTGCTTTCAAATTTTAAAAGTAAAGCCAAAATAACAACAACTCCAAATTCTTCAAACTGAACAAATAAATAACGGTGATAATATTTATATGTGTAGGCCACGTGAAAAGATTCGAGCATGACTGAGGAACAGAAAAACCAGGAACAGGCCTTGGTCTCGGAGCTTACAGCTGGCTCTGGGTCATGGTGCGACACTCCTGAGAGCCAGTCGTTGGGAGGGTGAGGTGAGAATGAGCAAAGACGCCTGGCCGGGGCCTCCTGGTGAGGCTAGGGTTTCAAACAGACACACCTCAGTTCTCCCGACCAGGCACTGTGGTGTGATCAGGGTCGCAGGCGAGCTGCTCCCGGGGACACGGAGGCCTTCTCGGCGTGACGGCACGGTGGGGACATCAGAGCCTGTCCCAGGGAGCACAAGCTCTCTGGGTCAGCTGGCCAGTCTTGACCTCTTTCCAGATGGGACAAGGAGCTGAGGTCAGGAACAGTCCCCTCCTCCCTGGACTATGTGACAAGGGGGATGTGGAATTCGTTTGTGTCGAAGATCAGGGGTCTCCTGGGAGGGCTTGGGTCCCTGTCGGCCTTGTGCAGCAGCTTGAAGAGCCCAGTTCCAATGTTCATAGGGATCCCCATGATGATGCATTCAGACACCCCTGAAACCAACCAGACAGGGCATCAGACGGCTTTTCAACACGGGTGGGCTCCCAGCCCCACAGCTCTCCTCGCAGTCTGAGCCACAGCTGCCCTGCAGGCTCGCCTTCCAGAGCACTAAACGCAGCCAGCAGGGATACTGAATGATGCCTGGGGAACCCTGACTTTGCCACCCAGTGTTTCCTCAATTGGGGGCCTAGAAAAGCAAACTGGCTGACGTTAGAGACCAGTGCCCTTGGAAACAGCAGTAGAAACTGGTTGCCTATGCTCAGGGGTCAAGGCTGGGTCAGGCTTAACAGCACGCCTGTGCCTTGGAAACCCACAGCCCTAATGGGAGACACGTGGAAGGCAAGGCCCCTGCAGAGACAGGAGGAAGGCAATGGAGCAAATTCTTTCTCCGAACTCCACTCCAGCTTTGGATCAGACTTCTGGTTCCATAACAAGCTAGTGCTTGCCTACTGTATTCCGGGCTTTGTCCTATCAGGAGACCAGAGAGACAAACCACCAAGCTAAAGACCAACACGGACTGAGAGCTGACACTGAGTTAACAACACTGTAAGGGACGAGGAAGGGGAAGATTTCACAGCAGGGGTGGGGTGACCATGCAGGCCCCGAGGAGGTCAGTGGTGGATAGAGGCAGCAGTGTTGTGGGGCTGCAGGGCCCAGCATCCCGGTGGCAGGGCCGCAGTGCTGGCCGTTAGTTCCACTGTCAAGCACACTCACTCTTACTTTTGCCTTGGCCTTGTCCCGTTCTCCTGTCCCAATCTCTGCTCCCTTTTTCTTTCCTCTGACCCTTCAGTATCTTAAAAATAATACAGTAATTTCTCTTTTCCTCTATCTGCAACCTGTGTTCCTTTTGCAAAGAGAAAAAGTCAATCTTAGGAACAGAACAGAGGCACGTGCCCTGACCGGGGCCCCACCTGACCAGCACGTTTGGCAAATGCATGTAAGACTGGGAGACGAGACAGGAAATGGCCGCTAGGAAGCAGAGCTCTGGTGGTGGGGACGGCGGCCAGGCTGGGAATCTGTGCTTGGGCCAGATGTGTATGTGACCTTGGCCTGGCTACCAAGCCCCCCGCGGACTCCCACCTCGGGCCTGTAGGGTCTTGCATAAGAAAGGACCGAGGACCGCGGGCACTTGGTGCGGGAGCCAGGGAAGAGCGAGCCGGGGCGCAGGCCCTGTTGTGATGGCCCCACCACAGCTCTTCTCTCCCAGGCCACCATGAGAGATGCGCTGTGTGGTGTGGGGAGGTGGCCGGTGGGTGAGACTCGTCAGCCAGCAAGCTGTCCCCTGTTCTACTTGTGCAAGGGTTTATTTTATTTTTAAAGATTTTTATTTATTTATTTGAGAGAGAATGAGAGAGAGAGAGAGCGTGAGAGGGGGGAGGGTCAGAGGGAGAAGCAGACTCCCTGCCGAGCAGGGAGCCCGATGTGGGACTCGATCCAGGATCATGACCTGAGCCGAAGGCAGTCGCTTCACCAACTGAGCCACATGCCAGGTGTCCCATGTGCGAGGATTTAATACCTGTCCCTTACAGACGTGCTGCGGTCAGTGCACGCAAAGTGCTGGGCCCGGCGGCTCTCCTTCCCCAGGGGTCAGGACAGCAGGGCCACTGGACGCTGCTCCCTCCTGTCAGCCCTGGCACCACCCAGCAGGGGCAGGGTCAGACTGGCCAACTGCATCTCCAAGGTCTAGAAAAATTCCTTGATGCTCAGGGTTCATCTTTTCTTCTTGGCCCCAAGAAGCTGTCTGTACTGACAGAGAAGCCTTCTAACAGAAGAGGGGGGAATCGCAGGGGGCCACAGCCAGGCTTTGGAGATCAAAGATCAATCATTTCCAATTCCGTGATCTTTATTCCTACCTCAGTTTCCTCACCTCCTGGGAAGCCCTAGTCACGGTCTCAGCTACAAACCACTAAAGCCCGCTGGTGAAGGTCCTAGAAACACCAAACCTACCACACACGGAGTCCTTCTGCCCAAAGTAGGCCGCATCGAAGAGATGGTCAGCTGTCTTCTCAAAGGAGGCCAGCATCAGCACACTCTCCTTCATCTTGGCCAGGCCAAACCTCGTGATGCCCAGGACTTCACCCTGCAGCGGGGGAGGAGGAGTTAGGGTGGTACTCACACCACTTACAAAAGCCCAGAGCAAACCACACCCCCTGCCTCCCCTCAACAGAGTCAGCCCAAATCGGCCAAGCAGCTGTTCAAGCCAGTCTCGGGTCCGGACAGGACCCTAACAGCGATCTGTCCCACTGGCGTCCCCCTGGGGCTACCAGTCACTGACAACACGGATCTTTCCATTCCCAACCACATGCCGTTGGAAGAAAGAGTCACGAACTGAGAGCCAGAATTAAAAACCTAACTTTTAAAAAAGAGAGTACTTCTGAAGATATTTATTATGGCTCAAAGAATTCCAAACTCAAATAATTTAAAAGCCTCACAGTAGGGAAAGAGTTAAGTAAATTTAGGCGCTTTCATTCAAGCCCACAGTGCACCATCGTTAAAAAAGTATATTTATAAAAACTATGTGACATGGAAAATACTCATAAAGTTAAATGAAACAGGATAAAACCCACATGCCCACTACTCACCACAACTGTGTAACATGATACGTGCGGAGAGAGTAACACCAGGAGGCAAGACTTAAAAGTGACAGCCTCTACTGAGGGGCGGAGGAAACGGGTCATTTCCCCACTCAGTTCTGACCACTCTGTCATCAGGGACAGGTTCCTAAGGGGAGGCACCGTGAAAGCCTTATGGCACTGCTACGGCGCATGCATACTAGTACAGGGAATGGATACGTTTTGTGGGAAAAGAGAAAGAAAATGACCAACCTCATTTCCCACCTAGCCTCCCCTTCAGATCATGGTAACTTATCCTTTACCTGGAAATGGCTACAGAAATGTAAGGAATGGGTTGAAAAGGAAATAAACAACTCGGTTTTCCGTGGAAATCCCTGGGCTTTTAGCAATGGCCAGTTTTGCTCTAGGATAACATTTCTAATAAGGACAAAAAAAATAATGCCCCCACCTCCTGCCATGAGGTTGCAAGTTTCATGCTGGAGTTTTACCACAACACCCAGCCCAACCCCATGCTTGGTCTTTGAGCGATGGTGACATCCTGTTTTCTTCCCGTGGCGGCTGTTACAGCTGGGTGTTCTCCAGGCAGCTGCGGGACAGCGCGGCGCATGGCGCCCTACCCACGAACCTTGTAGGTCATCAGGTCGGACAGCAGCATCACGTGCCTCCTGTCGATGCTCATGCCGTGGTTGACCATCGTGTACTGGATTTCGTTGATGATCG